ATTTGAATTTTATACAGAGCCTCTGTAATTGGGCAGAACCCTGGAGAGAGGAATCAAGGGAACACAAATTATAAGCTTTTTGTGTCATAATAAAAGAAGCATGCTTCGTATCATTACTTTTCCTGCAGAACAGGATTTGATGCGTGGGAAAATCAAATTAACTTTTTAAAGTATTAGTATTATGTAACATGACATAATATAAATGTTATTTGAGTCCAATAGTACCGAATATTAAATGCATTTAATAAAGAGATCTTCCAGACAGGCTTTGTGTGAGCAACATGGCTGTTTATTCACCTGGGTGCAGGTGGGCTGAGGCCGAAAAGGGCATCAGCAAAGGGTGGTGGGATAGCAGTTGGTTTTATAGGTTTGGGGTGGGCAGTAGTGTTACAGAGTAAAATCAGTTACAGTGGTGGGGGTAGGGGCAAGGAGTATACATTACCATAAGTTCAGTTACAATGGCAGGGGGGGTGGAGGGTGGAAGGGGTGAAGAAAGACGTAAGAGTAGTTAAGATGATAGGGTGGGGTGGAGGGATATTCACAGAGCAAAACAGTTAAGATGTCAGGGTGGGATGAGGAGTATTCAAATTATCATAATAACAGTTAAGACGACAGTGTGGGGAGAGAAGCTTAACATTTGTTGGGGGGAAGCTCCTCTGGGTGATCAGGGATAATGGCTAATGCAGGCGGGGTGGTTGGGAGTGATCAGCGGAGTCAGGCAGGACTTCAGACTTTCTGGGTCCAGGCTTGCACATGGAAGCCTGACAGTAAACTATCATAATAATGTTAACATATATTAAATGATTAAATCACTATATGCTAAGTACTTATATGATGGCACAATGTATGTTCTCTCACTTAAATCCTCATAATAGCCCTGTGAGATAGATATTATTATATCCCCCATTCATAATATAATGTTATAAAAATGAATCAAATCCATAGATATGCCTCCCTAAATTCACGATAGAGGATAAAATAACAAAGCAAGAAAAATAGGGAAGACTCAACATTTCACAGGCCTGGGCACATAGATGTTTTTTATTTTTGCAGAGTGAGTTTTTCAGTTTCATTATGAAGGTAAAAGCATTGTCAGCATTCAAACCATTGACACCAAGTCAGAAAAACTTATTTGAGAAGTTTATTGTACTGATATTTCATCAAATGCACATTAAGGGGTTCCAAATGCAATGACCTACTTTCTAATCCCACCTCCGTCTATGTGATGTTTTGGCTACGCTGCAGTTTTCCCGTATGCGTTATTGATTTCGATCTCACTCTTATTTCTATTGACAGGTTGTTTTAACAGAGAAAGAAAGGAGTAGGTTGTAAACTGACAGTGTACTTCTGTCGTGCACTGTAAGCATTTTCTGGACTCCTCTGAAGCCTGGGAGTGCTAGGAGCTCCAATTCTCTGGCTGTAATAAAACTTTCTACATTTGGATGTGATTTATCTCATGAGTTGGTTTGAGGTATCTCAAAGTGTATATTAATTAAGCTCCAGCCCCACAGCTGGCAGCCTGTGTCTCTGATACACCACTTCTAATGGGGGCAGCTTGCTGACAAGAGGTTTGGCTATCACTTAACACCCATACACTTTATGAATTTTCAGGATTTTAACTTCTGCATGACTTTGGCCTGAATGATTTCCATAAAAATAAACCGAGTCCCAACACTCAGAAACACACTGCTTGTAAATCGCCTTTTCCCCTAGTTTCACTATCCCCTAGTATTATGTAACATGACATAATGTAAACTATCATAATAACTTCTTAACATCTATTAAATGATTAAATTACTATATGCTAAGTACTTAAAAAGCAAAACAGAAAACAAATCTGTGTAGTTATCTATTTACTCATTGAGTAAGTGTGTAACTATTACTTATTTTGATCTGTTTCCTCCTTTGTAAAACTGGAAGCAGTAATAGTACGTTTCTTAGAGAATATTTGAGAGATTAAAGGAGCGAATACATATCAGGTACCTAGAAAGTAACTGATGAATATTAGCTATTATTGTTATTAATCAGACCTGAATAGAATATGCAAATTTTTTCATTGTCATTTAACTTCAATTCCTTTTATCTTCTTGGTGTCATGATGGGTTCTTAATACTCCCAGCTTCAAGAATCCAGAAGCAAGTCTGTGATTTTTATGCACTGTTGTGTACAGAAAGATAGACCATGCTAGCTGATGCTCCAAAAGATAAGCCCTCGGCTACCTCCTTTCTTTGGGGCATTATTCTGTCTGTGCAAAGAATTATTCTTGTTCTAACATCTCTCCAAGTGATTGAACAATTTTTTTCTTCTCTCTAACATGCTGCTTGATATTCTGAATGCTAATGATGCTGTTCAAAGTATTTTCAATCTGTTAACCATTATCCTTTCTGTCTTAGCTTCTCCCATAACAGTTGGTGCATATCTCAGTTTACTGGTTGTATCCATTCCTTGATTATCCATTCTATGGTGAAGTCACTCCCTACAAGTGAACTTGAGGGTAGGGAATGTGTCTTATTCTTCTTCCTATCACACGTGCTTTTACAGTGCCTGTCAAAGATAGGTCCTCAGTGCATTTCATTGAGTGAATGAATAAATGGGGGAGTGAATGAATGAATGAACAGAAACGTACTCTGTTTACTTATGAAACCAACAGAAACTTTAAAATAGAACTAAAAAGAAAGATATAGGCCTGGATCACTTGGGAAAATGTATGCAGAATCCTAAATGAAATTCCAGCAAACCAAATTCAACAGTACATTAAAGGAATCATCCAGTATGACCAAAGAGGATTCATCCTGAAGCTGCAAGGATAGTTTTCTATTAAGAAAGCTATTGCCAGTGGTGTGGAAATGTAAAGTATTACAGCCATTTTGGAAAGCAATCTAGCAATATCTATTAAAGTTGAAAATATATATGTCTTTTGAGCCAGCTATTTCACTCCTGGGAATCCACCCCACAGAAATAAAAGCACAAGTGCATGAGAATACACACACAAAGTGTTTTCTGCAGCATGGTCCAGAGTGGCAAAAAAGTGGAAACAAAGTTAATGCCCACCAGTGGAGAAGAATTAAATTATGGTGGCACACCCACACTGTAGGATGTTATGCAACCTTCAAAGAGAACGAATTAGAAATCTCCACAAGGTATTGTTCAATGATAAAAAGCAAAGTGGAGTAATTATAATAAGGTCCCATTTGGCTAAAAAATAAAAACAAACCCCAAAAAAGCAAAACAGAAAAGAAACAAATCTGTGTAGTTATCTACTCATTAAATAATTTTGTGAATATGACTTACTTTGATCTGTTTCCTTCTTTGTAAAATTGGGAGGAATAACAGTACATATCTTAGAGGATTTTTGAGAGATTAAAGGAGCTAATACATGTAAAATGTCAGGTACGTAGAAAGTAACTGATGAATATTAGCTATTATAATTAGCCTATAGACCTGAGTAGAATAGGCAGAATCCAGTGAAAAATATGGAGGGGTACATGGTAAATTGTTAACCTAGTTTTGTTTCATGTAGAAGAGGGGCTGATGTTGAAGGGAGAAAGTCCAAGTACATAAGGAAAATTAATGTATATTTCACATTTATGAATTTATTTTAAATTATGGTACATGTAACTGTATATAAAGAAAATAAAATATTTTTAAAAGGGAAAATATATTAGTAGGTTTATCAAATCAATTGATCCAATAAGAAAGAACAGTACAAAATGTTGCAAGACATTTACTAAAATTCAATCCCACTCCTCCTTAGGCACCTGTAAAAAAATTTTGAAAGGTGCTTATTTAAATATATGAAAGATAAATATTTTAAATAATAGCCATCATTAACTCTGATGGGGAAAGAATAGAACCAGACTTCTCATTTATGTATTTTCCGGGATGGTAATTCTACAAGTGGAAAAAGCAGATTCTGGTAAGTGTAGTAATTTGGGAACATGTCGCTCACAAGTAGCCCACACTTGAGTCATGGTGAATATCAGGATGGCAGAGTTCTTTTCCACCTTTCATTCTAGGTAAACTGTCCCTTCCTCAGAGGACCCTTCCGTAGCCCTATTTCTTCATGCGTGTCCCCTTTTCCTCCATGCTCTGCCACATTGCTTTGTGTCCTCCCATTGCAACCATTAATTAAGGGAACACCAAGAAACAGCGAAATTTGCTTAAGAATTTTCTCCCTATGTGCTCTAGCTGCTATTTACACTATAGTTTCCTTGACTTAATCGTATTTCTTTGTGAAAATTTTTCTTCTTAATGACTTTTAAAAGGAGTTTGTCTTTAAAAAAGGAATTTCTGTGGATATTGCAGTGGAGAATCATGATTTCATCATTGCTACTGTGTGCATGGCTTGTTGAGTGGTATCGACTCATGGTGGAATTTCAGGTGTTGGTTTTTCATACTTGCAAAAAGGAGGCAGTAGTCCTTCCATCCCACCTTTCCTGGAAGTAGTTCATGCACAGTAGAGTGCATTTTTATGAAGTCCTTTTCAGTTCCCTTGATGGAGTGAGTTTGACATTGGCAAGGTAGCGTTATGATTGCTATCAAGGTTCAAAGACCGTTTTTCTTTCTCATGGTTAACTTTATAAGCAACCAATGTGGCCAAACAGCTAGGCTATCTCTTATCTTTCTTAGTGCTTTGTGTCAAGATCTGTTTAAGCCTGTGACTCCCCCCACACCCTTTTTCATGGGTAGGGTGGTCAGGAGAGGTTTTCAGAATTGAAAGAATTTCTTCTGTTTTTTTGTTTTTTTTCTTTCTTGTGATCACGAAATAACTGTGTTAAGCCTTTATACTTGAGCAGAACTCTCCTATAGATAAAATGCATGTTTGCCCCTAATCAGTTGGGCTGAATTTCTGTGTTGTACCGCAGTGATTATAGCCACTGTCAGATTTTCTGATTACTGGCATCTCTACCAGCCACCCTTAGATAACAACTCCATTTGTCCTCAACCGATAAGCACAGATGGGCTATGTAACCACATTCATATACTTCTTTCTCCTCCAGGTCCTCATGAACATGGAAGACATAAAAGTTCGTGAAACGCAAATTTTTGACTACAGGAAAAAAATAGCTGAATCAGAGATTAAGTTAAAACAGCAACAGAACCTGTATGAAGCTGTGAGATCAGACAGGAATCTGTATAGCAAAAATCTGGTGGAGGCTCAGGTAAATAATATATTTATATCCTTACATTTTAATTTATTTTTACCCTGCATTTAAATTAGTTTCTCTTATCCTAATGGCAAAATTTAGACTAGATAAAAAAAAAATCTTATGGAATTCACCTGAAAAGAAGACCAATTTATGCAAAACTATCAGGTTATGTGAAATGGAAATGACACATCTTAATAGAATGTGGAGATCATGGTCCTACTTTTAATTATTATGTAGAATTACTATTCTCCTCCTTCTACTTTTTTTGAGATGGAGTCTCGCTCTGTCACCCAGGCTGGAGTGCAGTGACGTGATCTCGGCTCACTGCAACCCCAACCTCCTGGGTTCAAGTGATTCGCCTGCATCAGTCTCCTGAGTAGCTGGGATTACAAGTGTATGCCACCATGCCTGGCTAATTTTTGCATTTTCAGTAGACAGGGTTTTTATCATGTTGGCCAAGCTGGTCTCGAACTCCTGACCTCAAGCGATCCACCTGTCTTGGCCTCCCTAAGTGCTGGGATTACAGGTATGAGCCACTGTGTCTGGCTGTCTTTCTAATTTTTAAAACTGCTAATAGCTACTGTGACTCAGAGGGCAGCAGCATAATCTTTGGAATTCCAGAGCTTTGCTTCAAAATCTTTTAGTTATAGCCGGGCGCAGTGGCTCAAGCCTGTAATCCCAGCACTTTGGGAGGCCGAGGCAGGTGGATCACAAGGTCAAGAGATCGAGACCATCCTGGTCAACATGGTGAAACCCCGTCTCTACTAAAGATATAAAAATTAGCCGGGCATGGTGGTGCGTGCCTGTAGTCCCAGCTACTCGGGAGGCTGAGGCAGGAGAATTGCTCGAACCCAGGAGCTGGAGATTGTAGTGAGCTGAGATTGCACCGCTAGTGCACTCCAGCCTGGCAACAGAGCGAGACTCTGTCTCACAAAAAAAAAAAAAAAAAAAAAAAAAAAAAGCTCTTAAATATATATTGAACTTCCATAGGGACAATGATGTCTAATTCACTTTCAAACATTTCTCCTTTCATTTTGTTAGGATGAAATAACAGAAATGAAGAGAAAGTTAAAGATTATGACCCATCAGGTAGATCAGCTGAAAGAAGAAATCTCTGCCAAAGAGTCTGCACTTGTGAAGCTGCACCTGGAACAGCAGCGAATAGAAAAGGAAAAGGAAACATTGAAGGTACTGACCTCATAGTAAAAGTGAAGGATCAATAGTTCATCAGCCCATCTGAGGCAGCCTCCAGTCTCACTGAAGGCAGCAAGGGGCAGGGAGAACAACCACGCCTGCCTGTGGTCACAGGGGCTAATTACCCAAACCAAGCGCACAAGGCACCAGGAGGATGAGCTCTACCATCTCTAGGTCAGTGTTCCTTACAGGTAGTGCTGCTAGGTAGAATGGGGGAGGGGAGCGGTGGAGACGCAGACACACCTCTTTCATTTAGGCTGGCTATCATACATCAGTGGGAGAGAAACTAGCAGGTTGGCAGTGCCAAGAAGTCCTTGAACTTGCAAGCTCGCTACAATCCCTCTGCATTCACAACCAAGTCCAACCATTGTGCTTACACCCAACCTTCCCAGATTCCTCCCTGGGCCTTCTGGAAGGTGATGCTTTGTCCCTCTGTTTTTTACTTGGTGTGCATGTAACTTTTCTATCTGCAGTCTTACCAGCTGGGTGTTAGAGCTCTATTCTTGCTTGGTTTGTTCTTGACCAGGTTTGTAGTTCACTTTACCTCTGTGGGTCTAAGAACTCTGCAGCTGCTCTTCCAGGGATATCTCTGTCTTCATATATCTTACTAAGACATGCCCTTAAAAATCCACTAACTTGGAATATTGTATGTCTACTAACATAAGGACTCTTTTCAGGAATACATAGCAAATAATTATGCCATTTCAAATCTTCTAACCGAATATGTTTTGCTATACACATCACTAAACCTAATGTGCTTTTCTTTTTCCTATCCAATCCAATAGATTTCCATTCCAATCCATTTGAGTAAGGATTAAAAAAAGAACTTCCAAGAGAATAATGCCACTTTTGTTATGAAAATATATGTGCAGAATACTCATGGGTGCTTAAGAGACATTTGCAGAAACTTTACAGCAAATTAGAGATTGGGTACCTTGGTTTCTGCACATACTACCTTTCAAAGATAGTCACTGTTTTGAAAACGTATATCTAGTGTTGGGCAGTTTAATGCCATATTTCCTAGATTCTAAGATGCTGTAGACTGAAATAAGCACTCTGGATTTAATAATGAGTTTTGTCAAGTTAATGATAGGTTTTCATGGAAATAGAACTTTTACATGAAATTAACTTAAAGCTCATTTTGTTTGAGAAAGATTAAACTGTAACAAAAGAGCATGTACAAAAAAGATACTGTAACTGATATATTTACCTGTCTCAGACATTCATCTCCCTCACTTCAGCTTATACTAGAAAAAGAAGATTCTGCATTAAATGTTTTTATATATGTAAAGAAATATACATATATTTTCTAAAATTGGAAAATATCCTGCACCTTTGCCCTTATACTCCTTGTTTGAAAGCAGAGTTTTATAGAAAACAGTTTGTTCCACTGTGGAGCTTGTAGTGGGTTGGGGTTTATTTATTGCTGAGTAAATCGGAAGAATCTTATTTTAAACATTGCTTCACCCATGAGTGTTGTGGACTTTGTTAGCAAGGCTCAGTGTAATCCATCTGGTGTATCATCTTTCCCTTTAAAGGGTGGCATTGGGTTTCATCTCTTACTTTCCCTAGTAATGCTCTATTCGAAAAATTAATAATTACTCCATAATGGGGTCCAAGGTGGAACTAATGGCCTTCTACAAAATTCTGCTTTAGAACAAATGTCTTATACAAAATATCAATGATTCCTAATTCCTCAGAGCTTGACTTTAGCTAATATTTGTTTCATTTATGGCCTCTGCCGTCAGGTATCTACACATAAAGCTCCAAAGAAGGGTCATAATAAAATAAAATACAGGGTAATAGGGTCCTGTATCATTTGGACCTGGGCCAGCAGATTTGGCATCTGGTCAACATGAAGGATGATTAAAAGGCTTCTGCTCCAGAGACTGCTCCAAATGGAGAGAATCCCAGGTCTGGATGGCTTTGGGTCATCGATTATAGGAAGATGATTGCTTTGGACTTACCGTGGAACTAGGATGCCCTTTCTCCCAGCATTTCTCATGAAGGCAAGAATGAGGAGCAGAGAGAGAGAGAGGCCTGCCTGATTTATTATTTGAGACTATCCAAGGGTGACTTGCAATGGTGCTCTGACTGGATAATTTTGGCCTATCATTAAGCTCGTTTGACATTCTCTAGAAAAATATGACAGCTCAAATGTTGAGTTTTAGCCTTTTGACTTTTTTAGCCTAAGAATGAATCACATTTCACACAGGTCCTAGGATTTCATGCATCTAAAATCTGCCAACCAAAACCCCTAGGGAAAGGGCAGATTTTCCAGTAACTTTGCTCCAAGAGACATTTATCTTATTATTGTGAGTTATACAAAGCTATGTGGGTACATAATCCCTCCCAGAGGGGCAAGCCCATGCCTGCTAGGTAGCCTGTGAGATACCCTTGGATAGGACAACCCAATTTACAACTTCTCCAAGCCAATAGACAAATGACTGTCCTTAGTAGGTCATCCTCATCTTCATTCAGCCCCTTCAGCAGACAAATCTCCTTCCATGTTTCTTTTACTTTTTCTGTGGCTACCAGGCTCCACTGACGCCTCAGGATCCTGTACACTGTCAGCACATTATGGTTATGACAACATGTCAATAGTTCTGTGTAGACGTTGCTGTGTCTGCATTCATCTGCCCATTCTGTCCCAGTCTTGTTTCATCAGCACTGAAGGAGCCATCTCATTTGGAGTGTCTGCCATCCAGTCCTAACAAGCCCCTGATTCTGTCTCGTCACTTTCCAATCATCCGACATGTATCTGACAGCACTTTGATTCTTGGTGAATAATTCAGCAGCAAATTCTCTATGTCCAAAGCTCAGCACCATATTAGGGTCTGGCTTCAGGGTGCTATATTCTTTTACTTAGTGGACACTGTAGCATGCCGTGGATAGGGAGCTGTCATCCATGAGAGAGAAGGGGAGGGAGGGGAGAGAGAGAGAGAGAGAGAGAGAGAGCGCCTAATTATTCTCATGACTAGAGGACTTCGGGTGGTATTTGTTTTGCTACATTTAAACAGATGATTTCTGTGAAACTCGTTGAGATCATATATGAATGGCAGAAATTCTGCAAGTATGACTCTTAGGATATGATTTATGCTCATAGCCAAATCTGGTTACAGATAATCCATAATGTCTATTGCAAAATTGTATAATTGTGGAAGCAGTGAGTAAAGGCTGTGTCCTGCCATCTCATTACAACTTTATGCCACCAGTAACACTCGGATAGGTGCAGAAGCCTCAGGTCCCACCTAGGGCTTTGCTTGATGAGCTTTTGGATGCATAGTGGTTGTTGCCATCCTTCCTGGGTGAGATGGATCAGATTTATAACTGCTAAATGCATTAGACCCAAGGTATTTTGTTGATGTTAACATTTGCTGCCGATGTCTAATGCCACATCTTGTTTACAGCCCATAAATTTATGACATAAGGAGACCACTCAGAATTTTGATATATTATGAAAAAAGTACCTAGTGATGCCAAAGGCACGAGTGGTTTTACATTTCAGACAGATACTTTTACACACTGTTGATTGCATTTTAATATAACAGGGGTTTCATTTTGTTCTGCTGATGGATTCTGATCAGCTCTTGGCACTTAAGAACAGGGAAGTGAATGTTGCACATCTGGGAAAATAAAAGTTTTATTAAAGAAAGCATGAGCCAAACAGGTATTTTATTGCTCTCTTTGCTGTCATCTTAACTGATTATAGAAACAGAAAGCCTGGCTCTTTGCTCTCTTTCCTAACAGGCAATCCCCCAAGTGGTAAATACTAGATGAGATCTTTTCTCAATAAGTATTTCCTTTTGCTTATCCCTAGACCAGAACATATTTCATGAATGAACAAACAAAATGTCATAAAAGAAACCCTTGGTTTTACAGTAGCTGGTTGCATTCAGTTTCTGACATTTCACATCTATGACTAGGTACACAGTATCTTCTACTGTTTGGACAAGTCTGAGGTATAGAATTAATGACTTTTGGTTTTCATGGGATAGAGACAGACAGACCTTAACTAAAGTTGGGTTGGTTCAAAGGCACTTAAAAGTATGAGGTTTTCCGTCACCTTGGTGTCATTCTGGGTAGGTGGGGGTCCAAATACTTACTTGAAGGTAAAAATGATTACTCTTTGCCAACTTGCAAGCCATCGACAAGTTGAAACCTTAGTATCGTCTCATCATCTCCCTTCTGATTCCAGCATGGGGGAAAGCAGAGCTCTTTCTCCTCATTTGCTGCTTCTTGTGCTGACCTGGTCTGTGATACCCCTTGTCTATCCCAGTTGGGCATGGAACCTCTCAAAGGCATATTATTCTCTACTGTAACGTACGTAACTCTAGTTCCCCCACTGCATACCCTATATAATGCATGGCACACAAGGCCCTTCCCTGTGTGGCTTAGCTGTTTGCAAGCCTTACCTCCAGCTATTCCCTGCCTACCTCTCGAATTCAGCCATATTGGCTGTTTCACTGTTTGGTGAACACATTAGGTACTTTATAGTTTGCACACCTTTGTTGCCACAAGCCTGACTGTTGAATGCCCTGCTCCCACAACACATACTCCTCCATGTTGTCAATATCTGTCAACTGCCAGGAACCTGGCTGGTTCTTCCCTCTAAGCCCCAGGCAGAAATATAAACTCCTTTATGTGTAGATACTTTTCACATAGGTAGATAGCATTTTCACACTGTTGTTGGTTATTCATCATCTTCAACGGATGGCGACTCCCTCAAGTCTTGCTTGTCTTCTCTATTTGATTTAGAACTCTTGGGTGGTAACAGTAGAAGGAGCACAGGCTTTGGAATCAAAAGATCTGGGTTGGAATCTCTAATCTGCTGTTTAATAGTACCATGACCTTGGGCACTTTACTTGCTTTTGTCTCTGTAATTGCATTAAATGAGATAGGAGTAGCTGTGCAAATGGCTAGTATCATGCCTTGGATATGGTAGGTCACCAACAAACTAGAGGTGAATGTGCACTTTGATGAGACAAATTGTCCTTTTGAAACTTAGCAATCCATGGCACCCTTTCTCCATAATTCCTATGATTTTCATATAAGTTTAGGGGCCAGATTCAGCTCTGAGCTCTCTGAAAAAGCATCCCTGCTACTCCCAGTCTAATGATGACTTTTTCTTTGACCTCCTGTAACATCAATTCACCATCTGTGTGATAATCAAGACACTGAAAAGTTATTGCCTGGACTTCTTAATATTTGCATAAAATTTATCTATCTTATCCTTTCATCTGGGTTGGAGGTGCTGTAGAAGTAGGATCTATATATCTTTTTATAAGTGACATCCCTTCTGTTCCATCAGGATGTTTTACAAGACAGACAGTTGTTATCTTTCACTAGTTTAATTTTGCTCACAAAGGGCTTTACCTGTGCTATTCATGCGCTGGTGGTGTTAGGGCCATTACAGGAGCTGGTACGCACAGAGTCCTCCCCTGTCCTCACCCCACATCCTGCTCTGCACTATTCTTTGTGAATTATTCTGGTGTTTAGCTGGTAAGAGATGAAGTGCTACTGAATACCAATGAAGCCCCTGCTACACATATATAGAAAAATGATAGAAATCCCTCAAGGGCACAACTCAGAATAAACATGATGACTGTAATGCTGTTTCTTTATGAGTGAGTGTGTGTGTGTGTGTGTGCGTGTGTATGTGTGTTGTAAGCTTGTTTTGCTTGTGAGAGTGATCAAACCGTGTTAAACGAAACATCAGAGGAAAGAGTAAGAAGCACAACTGTACATCTGAATCCAGGCTCTGTCATCCTGGTTTGTGCTGTAATGAATTGAAATTTGCCTGTATCTTCCACTGTTTGGTAGGCCGAGCTGCAGAAGCTGAGACAACAAGCCCTGGAGACCAAACACTTTATTGAAAAGCAGGAAGCTGAGGAGAGAAAACTCCTGCGAATAATCGCCGAGGCTGACGGGGAGAGGTTGAGACAGAAGAAGGAATTAGACCAGGTAGAGCACCTCCTAGTCAGGCTTGCAGACCTTGTTAACAGACACAGGTATTTATATTCCACCCTTCACGAACCCTCATTCCTCTCTAAGCTCTGCCAACCATCCCTACTGGAAGAGCAGCAGCAGAGACCTATCTTGTGTTGATTAATTATGAAATATTCACTGCTTTATTTAACTTATATTTATGAACACTTCCCATGCATCAGTCACTCCTGTAGGCACTAGGGACACGTTTGCCACCGAGACAATAAGGTTCATCCTCAAGGAGCTTGCATTGTAGTATAATACAGTGGCTCACATCGAATTGCAATTCATAATTACATGATTCGATCTTGACTGGGTGTTCACATGTATGTGTAAGATATGCCTCCCTCAAACCTTATTACAATGTCGGTACATTACCCATCTAACATGAAAAAAATAAAAATAATAATTTGGGAGATAGAAACCCAAACGCATAATTTGGGTGTTAGAAATTTAAATGCTCTAAGGGACCTGGTGGAGAGAAGTTGGCCAGGGCAAGATAGAAGGAAGTGGTGGAACTTGGCAAGCGCTAGCCCACCATGAAGTCATTCAGATTTGAACATTTAGAAAAATAATGGATTTGGAAGTAAACCAAACACCACAGACATGGCTAAAGATCATTAGATGATTAGGCTATTTTTTTTTTTTTTGGGATGGAGTTTCGCTCTTGTTACCCAGGCTGGAGTGCAATGGCGCGATCTCGGCTCACCGTAACCTCCGCCTCCTGGGTTCAGGCAATTCTCCTGCCTCAGCCTCCTGAGTAGCTGGGATTACAGTCACGCGCCACCATGCCCAGCTGATTTTTTGTATTTTTAGTAGAGACGGGGTTTCACCGTGCTGACCAGGATGGTCTTGATCTCTTGACCTCGTGATCCACCTGCCTCGGCCTCCCAAAGCGCTGGGATTACAGGCTTGAGCCAGCGCGCCCGGCCTAGGCTACTGTTATTATTATTTTTGAGACAAAGTCTCTCTCTGCCGCCCGGGCTGGAGTGCGGTGGCACAATCTCGGCTCACTACAACCTTCTCCTCCCAGGCTCCAGCCATCCTCCCATCTAAGCCTCCCAAGTAGCTGGGACTGCAGGCATGCGCCACTGCACCTGGCCAATTTTTGTATTTTTAGTAGAGATAGGGTTTCACCATCTTGGCCAGGCTGGTCTTGAACTCCTGGCCTCAAGATCTTCAAGGTCTTGAACTACTTGATCCACCCACCTCAGTGTCCCAAAGTGCTGGGATTACACACATGAGCCACGGTACCCATGCTTGGACTATTATTATTAATATTATTATTATTATTATTCTAAAGATGGGGTTTCACCCTAATGGGCAGGCTGGTCATGAACTTCTCACCTCAGGTGATCCACCCACCTCGGCCTCCCAAAGTGCTAGAATTATAGGCGTGAGCCACCGCGCCCAGCCTAATTTTTGTGTTTTTAGTAGAGATGGGGTTTCACCATGTTGGCCAGGATGGTCTCGATCTCTTGACCTCGTGATTCGCCCACCTTGGCCTCCCAAAGTGCTGGGATTACAGGCTTGAGCCACTGCACCCAGCCTATTATTAATATTATTAAAGATTATTTGTTGTACGGTGTTTTCAGAAACTCTAACGGGAGGGGTCCAGTGTTGATTGTCTAGCCAGCTTTTTCTATTGCCCAGCCATGTGGTGCCCAGTACATGTGGGCATTTTATACATACTCGTTGGCTGAATGAATGCTGCTACCACAGTGAAAAGCTGAGACTTTTCCTTCCCTGGTGGCCATGCCCTTCCCTACCTTTCTAGGTCATCAGTGAGAGAGATATCCTGGGGTCTCAGCTTGTTCGGCGCAATGACGAGTTAGCTTTGCTCTATGAGAAGATCAAGATCCAACAGTCCGTGCTGAATAAAGGGGAGAGCCAGTACAACCAGAGGTTGGAGGACATGAGAATCCTCAAACTTGAGATCAAGAAGCTTCGCCGGGAAAAGGGGATTCTTGCCAGGAGTGTGGCTAATGTTGAGGAACTCAGGTAATAGGTAATAGAACCCAGGGCTAAGGGCACAATGCAGTGTGGGGAGCTCCTAAAGTCAGCTCGTATTCATGCTTGTCGCTCATTGAAGGTCTTTATCAAGTTGTGCAAAATGAAGTTTACAGGATGAAATTATTAGAAAATAAGGAGAACAGTTTCTCCGTTGTGCCTATGCTGTGTCACAAAAACGAACCGGTTTCCTCTCAGGGGGGTATGTGCGAGCGCAAAAAAGGTTTTAAAAAAACCGTATTCTGGATTTTACAAAAGATTTTTAAGGAAATTAGTTACAATTCAGAATTTTTTTTCCCGCAATGAGCTTTCTCGAATTTCTTTAATAAGTCAGTACGCAAGAGAGGGAGCATCAATATTGAAATTTAATCCTTGTAACATTTCCACATCTTTTTCTTGGAATTATATACAGGAAGAAAAGAGGTGGAAAATGTAATTTTATCACTACTTGAAAACTTCGTTTCCTTAGAAAGCGGCCAAATTTTATATCTCACTCTTGATTTATCTTCTGCAGCTTTCACTTTAGCTTAGCGCGCCTTCTTCTTTCTTTAAATCTTGCATTACACGAGATCTACTTTCCCTTTGGGAAAACGTCATCATGTTTTATATAGGCAATTGCAGGAAACCAAATAAGAGTTCTGGTATTTTCAGGGTAGCTATCCTCATTCCCCACAGACTTGTAGATGAACAGTATCCTTGACCACCTTGGAATGAGGAACATGGTTTGGATCTGCTTCTCAAATCAATTGGCTTAGAAGATAGTTTGGATATTTAAATGCAATGAATATGTTCAGGGACAGCATGGTTGCCACGATCAAGGATGGATCAATACTTTTTTGGGGGGACTTGCTTGTATTTCAGATGATAAAAGTAGTGCAAATTCACTGTAGAAAATGTGGGAAACACAGAAAAAATATAAAGAAGGGATTAGAAAATCTCCCGTAACTTTACTTCCCAGAGGCACCACCACTGACATTTTGGAGACAAATGGATTCATTCTAAGCAGCTATTGAATAGTTGCCAAGACCATCACTAAACTTGTCAGCCATGAGTTATTTTTATTACATACACAAAGGACCAAATTTTATCCATTCTCATTCAGTATTGCTAGTTTGTTGATAATACTTTTTATGTTTCTTTTCAATGGGAAGACAGCTTCATAAAGGCTGGAGGCAAGCTAGCATGAATTCCAATCTGTCTTGCTACCTACAAGCTGAGTGACCTTGGGCAAGTCACTGAACTTCCCTGGGCTTTAGACTTGTAGTCACAATTAAACGGGAAAACAAATCAGTCTGCCTACTACAGAGTCTAGTACAAAGCAGGCCATCAAATACAGTAGCTCATATTTCTGCCCTCCTCTTCTGATGACATTCTAGAAAATTGAAGTGTTAAAAATATGCTTTTAATTCTAAGCAGCTTGCTCTGAGCGCCCTGTTGAGTGAACATCATGCAGTTAATTCTAATGGTTTGTCTTGCTAATGAGGGGAAGTTGTATTATTGGTTTAAATGAAGCGATTAAGTAAAAGAGATGGCTTAGTATTAGTAATCTGTACCTCTGCAGCAGACGGGGACAGATAATAATGTCCTTATTGCCCGTGTCAATGCAAGTGCTTGCTTCTTCTCTGCCTCCCACCATCTCATTCAATAGGGGGACAGCCAGCTTGCAAACACTGAGGATGGCTGCTGCATATTACCTATCAACTAGAGATTCCTGCAGATTTTAGCAGGGTGTTTCAGCCAGAGTTAGTTATTTGGAACTTTTTCAGCCAACTCTGTAGTTGTGGAACTCAAGATAAAATATCATCACAACTCCTAACTTGGTGTTTCTCAATCCGGCTGCACATGAGAATTGCCAGCAGGACTTTAAGACCTATGAAGCTGGGGACCCATGCTAGACCATTAAACAGAATCCCTCTAGGGATTGGGTCCAGGAGATGATGTCTTTTTCAAAGCTCCCCAAGTGATTTCAATGAGTAGTGAGGGTGGAGCTGTATGCCCTAACTGGTGTTATCACCTGAGCCTCAATATATTGTCGTCAGGTGCTGAGTTTGTGGATTGTAGTGTGTTCATTTATTACCACTATAGAAACATTCAGAAACATTAAACAGTATATTGAAACTCTCATAATTCATCCCTGAAATGGTTTGGCTTTGTGTCCCCACCCAGATCTCACCTTGAATTGTAATAATCCCCACTTGTCATGGTTGGGGAGATAATTGAATTATGGGGGCAGTTTCCCCCATAATTTCCCCTAATGAGAAATACTGTTCTCATTGTAGCCATGTAGTGAATAAGTTTCCCAAGATCTGATAGTTTTTATTAATGGGTGTTCCCTAGAGAAGCTCTCTTGCCTGTGGCCATGTAAAATGTTACTTTGTTTTTCCTTTGTCTTCCACCATGATTGCGAGGCCTTCCCAGCCATGTGGAACTGTGAGTCCATTAAACCTCTTTTCTTTATAAATTACCCAGTCTCAGGTATGTCTTTATTAGCAGTGTGAGAACAGACTAATACAACCCCCCCGCCCTTTGTTCTTTTCATAAACTTATAAATTTCTTGAGTATTCAGAATCATGACCCTGACTCTGAAGCTCTGGCACTTTTCTTTTTTAAGCTAAGCCAATTCTTGAGCTCTACAAGAATTAATATCATCTGCGTCTTGCCCAGATTTAGGAGGCTGGTCCCAGTGTTCACAGTATTCTCCCTAATTCCAACTTTTTATATAAGACATAGTGTGTATGCAACCGATTAAACACAGGATGTTCAAATGGGTGGATAATTCTTTGCAAAATCAACTTTGTTTTATTCAGACAGGAGTTTTTTCACATGCAAAGAGAATTCTTGAGGGAGAGGACACGCTGCCGAGCCCTGGAGGAGGAGCTGGAGAATCCTATGAACGTGCACAGATGGAGGAAGCTCGAGGTAACATCTGGCAGCTCGTTCTCCCCATCCCCAAATCTCTCCTCCTATCCCACGCGAAGCTTCTCCTAAAGCGCAATGAGAAGTGAGGTTTTATTTAATGCTATGCAAAGTGTCACCTAAAATGTAAGGCTGGATCAGACGTAATTTGAGTTCTCTCAGAACCAGATGGTTCATTTGGGTTTTGTTTTAAAAGTCTTGCACAAAATCTTTTCTACCTAAAGAAAGCCCAGTGAAAGCTGTGAACCCGCCTCACAAGTTGACATTTATTTTTCTGGCTTGGATAGGTTTTGGTTAACTAGTTATCCCGAGGCTGCCTGTTAGTCTTGGATGTTCATGGCCTTTAACGATACTGGGCATCAGCATCTTCACCATCTTTCAATTGATCTTTGCATCCTTTTATTACAGAAAATACCCTTTTGTGAACTGCCCTCTTTTTGACAGCATTGTGTTAGCCAAGCCCTTTCTCTTAGAACCTGGGGACACGGCTAAAGTCCCACTGGTAGGGGATGGATAATCAATTTCATATTTAATTTTATTCAATGACTTTCTGATAGTCATCACCACCGGCACTGAAAATAACAGTTAAAGACAAACTGCTTCTTCAAGGAAAAGATAGCCATCTCCTTTAGTTGTACCTAGCAATGTGGATGCCAAAAGGGGCTTCAACTAAATGAATGATTAGGGTATTGGGAGAGGTAAGTAGGTCATATAAGAAAAAGCAGGGCAGGCATAAGAAAGAAAATCAGCCAGGGAGATTTTTGTTTTTCATTTTTATTTTTTTCTTTAAGTATGGAAAGGACAATATATATTTTACATAGGGACTTTTAAGACAGAAAAAAAAATAAATCCTTTATTTTTGTTTTTTATTTTTATTTTTTCCTTACAAGAAAGAAAATCAGCCAGGTAAATTTTTGCTTTCCATTTTTATTTTTATTTTTTAATGAAGAAAACATTAAGGATAATGTCTTACAAACTGTTATGTAAACATGAGTCCTGGATTTTAACAACATCCAGTCCTGCCAGGTGAATGTATGCCAAATCTAGTCCCAATAGATGGATACCAGTTGGCACTGCTCAGTGTTTCTTAAGCAAAGTCAGAGTCAATGACATCTCTCTCTTTCTTTTCTCTCTCAGACCCTCATTCCTTCCTCTTCAAATGCCAAGAGTGATGTAGTTTACTAACCCAACAGTAATATGGATATGCCTGCAGAAGTAGAGATGAAGATTTTAAATTCATTTACTGTCACGTTTGTTTATTCCATGTGTTTTCAGGCAGATCTTTAAAGTTGCTAATTCCACATCAATTTCTGTTTAAAAAATTAGAAAATAGAGACTCAGGGAGGCAGTTGAAAATATTTAGCTGTTAGATTAATTCAAAATGTCAGTACAGTTGAAAGTGAAGCCTTGGCTCAAAGTCTAGAGGACAAATTCCCAATTTATAACTGTATATCTTGTTTGAATTGTACACAACTAGTGAAGGAACATCAAAGCTTTGTGGACTGATGATTCCATTTCAGAGCTAAATGCCATGGTGGTGTCCTGCTGCCAATAATGAACAGAAGTCCACATTCTGGAAACCATCCTCGTCATAGACTGCAGTGAATCTTCCTGTTGACAGTGACCAAAGGAGAATCCTAAGGCTGAGTGAATTAAGGAGCCCTACCTCATTCCGTTCAAGAATTCTAGGGGCTGGGCACAGTGGCTCACACCTGTAAGGAGGATTGCTTGAGCCCAGAAGTTGGAGACCAGCCTGGGCAACCTAGTGAGATCCTGTCTTTACAAAAAAATTAACCAGGTGTGGTTGCATGTGCCTGTGGTTCCAGCTACGTGGGAGACTGAGGCAGGAGGATTGCTTAAGCCCTTAGAGTTTGAGGCTGCAGTGAGCCATGATTGCACCACTGCACTCCAACCTGGGCAACAGAGTGAGATCCTGTCTCCAAAAAAAAAAAAAAAAAAAAAAAGGAATTCTAAAATGAAGTTAAACAGAGGAGATGGTAGGGTAAGCCTCGGAGCATAGGAACTGAGAACTACAGCCTTTGTAGCTTGGCATAGTTGGGCTTGAGTCCAGCTCTGAGCCTTACCAGTCTGGGTAAATGAGAGTTTCTCTCAGTCTCAGTTGTCTTATCAGTATGAAAGGCTAAGACATACTGTCTCCTAGGGCTGTCCTGCAGCTAAAGAATAATGCTGTATAAAAAGCATTTACCATAGTATCTGGATGGTGGCAAAGAGTCAGATATCAAGCATAGTAGCTACCATTATTGTTATTCCCACTGGTGGAATAAACATGTTTACTTTCTATTTATAGAATAACTAGTACCATAGGTAAAACATTAGGAAAATTGCAACCTGCTTTTTTGGGGATAGATATTTATGATTAGCTCATCTATTATACTTTTATTTAAAATTCTAATTCTCTCTGTATTGGGTCTGCAGGTTTGTGATAGATTTTAATAAAACTGTGTGCATTTTACGTAGAGACCTCGGGGCTTCAAAGTTGATGATATCTCAACTGCTATTGTTCCCCTTGGACAGGCCAGCGACCCCAATGCATATGAGCTGATACAGAAAATTCACACCCTGCAGAAGCGTCTTATCAGCAAGACTGAAGAGGTTGTTGAAAAAGAGCTGGTCCTTCAGGTAGCATTTTTGTGTTCTGTGCTCATTGTACATGCAGATTTCCTTAGCAGCACCATCTTCAGGACTACGTTCTTAGAATTAGTCAGTTATTTGGCAGCATTGCATGTCCCGTATTTAACTGTAGATGGCAACAGTGACTCACACATAGAGAACAAGCACAGCCTGATTAATTGGTCTTTTATGTTGCGATTACTGATATTTCAAGAATTCTGGAAAATTAAGTTCAAGGCTAGACTTACTGCAATGGGTAATGTGAGCAACTCCCCCCACGTCTCTACAGTTTTATTTATCAGAGTCTTTTAAACATTTTTCTTCATATCTTCATATAATGCAAAATGCTGTGATTTTGATTTTGAAAATAAGCTTTCCTATAGAGTACAAATGATCTGTTCACATAAAGATGCGTATGAGTGGAATGGAAGAAGAGATTTCTTTTTGAGGATTTTATGCAGTAAGTTGTTCTGCAGCAAGTAGGCCTGTATCTTTGCAAGGGCCAGCTGTCAACATCAACATCACCATCTTCATCACTGCCATCATCATCATCACTTACTGTGTGCCAGGTATGCTGGTGGCTTTACCTACTTGGTCTCATTTCCTCTTTGCAGTTCAGGAAGCAGTTATGGTCATCCCCAATTGATGGCCGAGGAAGTTAGGGCCCGCGAGTTTAGCATGGATAAGAATGTCAGCTCTTGAAGTTAGATGACTTCGTTTGGACTCCTGCCAATTGCTCTGCCAGTGTAACTTCATTGCACCTGACATTCTTAGTCTGTGTTATGGGACAATAACAGAACCTGTGAAAATGGATATTGTGAAGATTGAAAGAGTTTAGTGTTGTCCTTGGTAACATGGTGTCTACTAAATATGAGCAATGGTTTATGTTACTTTGGATTCCAAGGCCCATAATTAATTAATTTTTTGAGACAGTCTCGCTCTGTCACCCAAGTTGGAGTGCAGTGGTGCCATCTCAGTTCACTGCAGCCTCTGCCTCCCTGGTTCAAGTGATTCTCCTGCCTCAGCCTCCCAAGTAGCTGGGATTACAGGCATGTGCCATTGTGCCTGGCTAATTTTTGTATTTTTAGTAGAGATGGGGTTTCACCATGTTGGCCAGGCTGGTCTTGAACTTCTGATCCCAAGTGATTTGCCTCCCTCAGCCTCCTCAAGTGCTGGGATTATAGGCATAAGCCACTGTACCCAGCCCCAAAATCCATAATTTTAATCGCTAGGTTAATATTAGTAGGAGTAGGAACTTTTATATATGAGTAAAGGGCATTTGCTCCTTCTGTTTTACAGTCTACCTTAAAAGAGATAGTTACGCTAATATGTATTGGGTATACAGTAAATAGCCTTCCAGAATATCACAACACTGAACGGCCAACAGGGATTTTCCTCTTCTCTTGTAGATTACTGTGCTGGTTGAGAGAGTAGACTTTGAAGTCCAGAAAGATCTGGTCTTAAATCAGTGTCAACCCTTGATCATTTCATGACTTTAAGAGAATTACATACATTTGACAGATCTCAGTTTTCCCATCTGTAAAATGGGGATGATAATACCTGTTTTTTTCGTAATGGGAGGAGGATACTCTAGTCAGAGTGCATAGTTTGGATGTCTTGTAAGGATAACCAATTATTAGTACGTGGCACTGGGCTTCGATAGTCCAGAGTTTGAGCTGTGGCTTCCCTGATGCTGGCCATGAGTCATTTCCCACGTCTGTGCAGCTGGTAAGTGCTAGGGTGGGACTCGGCCCAGACAGTCACTCCAGACTCACACTTTCTACTGCTTCACTACTTTGTCTGTTCTGTGATCATCACTTTGTTAGTTTTAAAAAGAACCAAATCTTATGTTTGCCAAGCCTCTGTATTGTAAGTTTGTTTTATATTTCATGGACTGCTCTGACTTTATTATTTCCTTCCCCCTATGTACACTGGGTTTACTCGGTTCTTCTACCTTTTTAAGGTTGATGCTCAGCTCATTGATGTTCAGTCTTCTCTTCTAATATAAATATTTCAGTTATAAAATGCCCTTTAAAGCTGGGTGCAGTAGATCATGCCTGTAATCCCAGCACTTTGGGAGGCCGAGGCAGGTGGATTGCTTGAGCCCAGGAGTCCGAGACCAGCTTAGACGACATGGCAAAACCTTATCTCTACAAAGAATACAAATATTAGCGGGGTATGGTGGTGTGCACATTTAGTCCCTGCTACTCAGGAGGCTGAGGTGGGAGGATTGCTTGAACCCGTGGATTCAAGGCTGCAGTGAGCTGTGATTGTGCCACTGCACTTCAGCCTAGGTGACAGAGTAAGACCCTGTCTCAAAAAAAAAAAGTTATATTTAGTTCCTTTCCACAGGTTTTGATATGGGGAATTTTCATTTAGTTCTAAATGTAGTATATTTTCAGAATTACTTCTCCTTTGGCAGTCTAAATAATAGTCACTATTTCTCCTAATAATAATTAGGAGATATTTTATGACATTTCATGATAATTAAAAGTGCATTTTAAAATTTCCAAATATATATGTATTTAAGTTATCTTTTACTTACTGACTTCTCATTTTTCTGCATTGTAGTCTGTATTATACAGATTCTTTGGAATTCATTGAAACTTGATTTGTGACCAACTAAGTGGTCAGTTTTTATACCCAATGCCTGCTGTTTGAAAAAGATGCATGCTCTCTGAATGCTCTGGGGTTAGTGTTCTGTATTTGTTAGTAAGATCAACCTTGTTAATTGTATTGTCTAAATCTGTACTTTTCCTAATTTTCTGTCTGCCTAATCGCTGAAAAAAGTTTGGAGATTTGTCTATTTCTCCTTGTAGTTCTGTCATTTTTTGCTTTAAGGACATTTTAGATTATGATCATAAGGTGAATATAAGATTACAATGTTTATTTCTTCCTGGTTGGATTGCTGCTTTCATATTATGTAAGAACTCTCCTAATAGTATTTTTACTTACAAATTTGCCTAATATTAACATAACTCTATCAGCTGGATTTTGAAAAGTAGCTTTCCTACTTTTTATTTTTAAACTTGTGCTGTCTTTGCAGTTTAGGAAAATCTCTTGTAATTAAAAAAATCTTACGTTTGTCTTTGTGTTTAGTTTATGTTTATTGATAATTTTAGGTTTATTTCTACTTTCTTATCTACCCTGACTTTTTGTAATGCTCAGAAAATTCAGAGTTTTCTTTATGTTCTGTTTTTCCCATTCACCAGTTTCCCTGCTCACTATTACTACCTATTCCCTTTTTCTAGTTTTTTTTCTTTTTCTCAATAGTTACCACCACTCAGTATAATATTCTTTCTGTGTCTCTGATTCCCTTAAATACATTATCTTAATTCTTTGTTTTTCTCTTTCATAGATTCTCTTAAAAATTCACCATGCATAGTTGACATCAAATCTAAGTAAGTCTAAAGTTGATCAATATCTTTCTCTTTCTTACAAACAGTGCAAGGATTTAGAATGCTTTAATTGTGGCTACCCTACTGTTTCCAAAATTAGCCATCACCACTATTATGTTATAGAGTCAATTTATTAAGATTTACCAAGGTGTTTACCAGTTCTTTTGTTTTCTATTTCTGTATATCTCCAATTCCTTACTTCCAGGTTCTGTCTCTTTCTTTTTGAAGCATATCTTTCATAATTCTTTAACCAATAGATTTTTCAAGGGTTAATATTCTCCTTTGCTTATCTAAAAATGTTTTTAGTTTGGCCTTATTTGTAAATGATTAACTTGAAATCTTATTTTTTTTTAATTTTTGTATTTTTTTTAAAATTATACTTTAAGTTCTGGAGTACATGTGGTTGAAATTTTATTTCCATTTGTACTTTGAAGATGTTGATCTTTGTGACCCAGCTTCCAGTGATGTATCTGAGAAGTCTGCTGTTCATCTAATTATTTTTGCTCCTTTTTAGGTGACCTGCCTTTTCTTCTGTTTGATTGTTAGATCTTCTCTTTGCCGTTGATGTTTCAGAGTTTCAGCACAATGCATTTGAGTATGAATTTAGTTTAGGCTGCTATGTTCAGAACACACTCCATTTCCTGAATCTGGGGATTCCCGTGTCTTCAAATAGTCTCTTTTTTAGTGTCTTTATTCACTCCTCCTGGAACTCTTATTAGAAGTATGTTGGGTTTTCTTATTCTATTTACTGACCTAGTTGATGTTTTTCTTCTCTTTAATCTTTATGTTCCATTTTCTCAGCTTTATCTTTTTTTTTTTTTTTGACACAGAGTCTTGCTCTGTGGCCCAGGCTGGAGTGCCATGGCAGAACCTTGGCTCACCACAACTTCTGCCTCCCAGGTTCAAGCAATTCTCCTGCCTCGGCCCTCTGAGTAGCTGGTATTACAGGCTCCCACCACAACGCCTGGCTAATTTTTGTGTTTTTAGTAGGGACGGGGTTTCATCATGTTGGCCAGGCTGGTCTCAAACTCCTGACCTCAAGTGATCCGCTGGCCTTGGACTCCCAAAGTGCTGGGATTACAGGCATGAGCCGCTGCACCCAGCCAGCTTTATCTTCTTGTTCACCAATTCTTAAAGTGTGATTACCTGCTAATAGTCAATACATTGAGATTTTATTTTCAATGATTTTATTTTTATTTTCAGAGATTCTTCTTCACATATGCCTGGTCTTCGTTGATAGTTTCTTGATTTTCTTATGGTTTGCATCCTTCCTTTATTTCCCCAATTAATTCAAAAACTTATTTTATAGTCTTTATCGGAGTGTTCTATTATTGAAGTTCTTAGGGGATTTTCCTGTTTGTTGTGACTGCTGAGTTTCACTCACGGTAGATTTTTCCTTTCGTATTTTGTGATTTTGGATCATGAACTCATTTTCAGAAAGCCTTTATTTGAGGACCTGGGAATGGTTCAGGTTAAGGGTATGCCCATTCATTTGTTTCTGCCTGGTGCCTTAGAAGATGTCACTTGCTTAGAACAACTTTTTTAATGTTAAATTCTCACCTTGGGCTTCTTGGACTACTTGGCTAACACATACTAGAACCCCAAACTCTT